CACCGGATTTATAGGTGGTGTCCTCACATTCATTTTTGTTTTCAGCGGCTGGTGTCTATCAGGGTGATATCTTTCTTCCCCTTACCGTGCCGTCTCCTCCTCTAGACCAGCTTCTTCGCTAGAATCCAGAGTGTCAGAATCGGAATTATCTAGCTCCAAGGCTTCTAGCTCTACCGTAGGGTATAGTCTAGATTCTGGCTTTTTCTTTTTCTTAGATTTGTTAGGGGGTGAATGATCACTCCCTTCTTTCTCTCCCCCTTTCTTAACTTCTTGGGGAGGGCCTTTTTTCTTAGACATGTCTTTCCTTTTGCGAGCTCCCGTTCTCTCACTCCGTTCAGTTTCTGACATGCTATCCTGAACTTCCTCTAAGGTTCCCTAACTTTCTACTATAGCAGGGTGACAGGCCTCATCCTCCAAGCAGTTTTTAACTATCTTCCAAATGGCTTTGGTACCTAAGCGGAGATCTCCTTCTGCATGCTTCCTGTCTAGGTCTTTACCTAGCTTGTTCCACGAGGCCACAGTGAGGGACTCGGAACAAGCATACCATGGTGCCACTCTATCTACCTCCTTCACAAAATTTTGAAGTGTTCGTGGTGCAATTTTAAGATCTCTTTGTTTTAGCAAAGTCTGTAGGGCAGTAACCACTGACTTTGATGACCCCATCGTGCTGGCGGCTTATCTAAAAAACGGCGCTCGACTCCTTTACCAGACTGACAGCACCGTTCTGTTAGCACCAGCCACGATGAAGAAGAAGCACAAACAGGACTAGCACCAAAGCCTCCACTGACCGGTCCTACGGTGGTGGTAAAGTAAGGCCAAAGTCGATAAAGGGGGTGTTCAGGATCAAGCATACCTCTCCGAACTTACCTCCCTGCAGTTCTGAATCCGCCCCGTCTTCCAAGGGGTCTCCCGCAGCGCCGGCGATGTTGAAGAGTTCCTGGGTTTCGGCACCAGATGTCCCGCGCCACAGTCTCGCCAGCAAGAACGACACAGGACACTCGGATCCTTCTGCAGTAAAGCTTTAATGCATCTTGAGAGATAGATGATCAGCTTCTGAGAGGGAGACCCCAAGCTAAGAAACCCAGCCCCTTATATAAGCCTAGGAGCTCCGAGTGAGACGTGTAGAGCCGGGATTGGTGGTTTGCTCATCACCCCAGATGACGCCACGGGAGAGGCAGAGCTTAAACGGTGGACTCCACCTGACAACGGATGTCGGTGCCATCTTCTAATGGCGATAGCGATAGCGAGGGCGGCTCCTCACACAGACACAGAGAGAGAGAGAGAGAGAGAGAGAGAGAGAGAGAGAGAGAGAGAGAAAAAGAGAGAGACAGAGACAGAGAAACACACACCCACATTCCAAAGGAATGTAATAACAAAGGAAGTCATGTCTCCAGAATCCTGAGGGTGCTGTGCACACTCTTCTGTAGCCAGGACACAGAGGTCCAGAGAGCACTGTGACACAAGTTCTCCACACAACTGGCCCATGTCCCCAGCAGGGGGCAGAAAGCACATATTTTGCTATCCAGAGGCTATCAACTGCCTCAACATCTGTATCTCCTTACACCTCAGCAAAGATGTAGTCCCAATTCACTTAAATCAGAATTGGCTTTAGAGTTGGATGGTGGCTCTCCCCTTCCCTAAGTGCAATCATGTTGTTAAGACAGAGCTTCAGAGTTCTTGTCTCCTATCAGGAGACCCACTTGGTGTGAGACAGAAGAAAACTTAAAATCTAGGGGTTCTGCTTCCCACAACTGTGTTTCTTACCAAAACTCCACTTCTCCCCATACTTATTTTCATCTTTTTCAGTACTTTTCTTTGGATGTATGTCTATACATATTGAAATTCTTCATTTTGTTATGAATGATGTTTAAGTTTTCCACAGCAAACAATACATTTACCTGACTGCAGTCTCAGAAGTCTCCAGAATGAAGACGGATTTCCAAAACAATTCCACCTAATCCACCATGATGCCTTAGAGCTGATAAATGCAGGCACTGGAGAGACTTCTTACCTCTACCGAATGGTCAGATAGAAGTGGGTGGGGCTGGGTGACCTGGCTGTATGTCTCCTCCAGCTGAAGAGACTGAACCCTCCAGTTGAAGAGGCAGAAATCCTGTCTCCTCCATCCTTATATTCCTTTCTCCATGTCCCTAGTGTAGGTTTCTGGTGGGCAGTGTTGGTGCACACCTTTTAATGCTAACATTTTGGAGGTAGAAACAAGATGATATTGTACTTTGAGGCCAGCCAGTTCTACAAAGTGAGTATCACAACCTGGCAAGACTACACAGACAAACCTGTCTAAAAATAAAAAAGCAAGCAGGCAAACAAACAAACAGAAAAAGAAGTAGGTTTGGGGTCATGTTGAATGTGAGCTGTTCTGGAGAACCCTGTGTAAAGGCGTTGACTGTGTGGTTGGAGTTCAGGACACAGGATCCAATAGAAACCCATCATTTTGAGACCTCAGTGGAGACAGAAGTAGAAATTACTTACATTTAGGAAAGGAATTGAGCAGATGGTGGCACTGTTGCTGGCCACAAGGACTCTCCACTACCTTTCCCCATCATCTGAGGACCTGGACTCATCTCTCAGACTGAGATGGTCAGGACAAAGACAGATAATATTAAGTCACATGCGTAGATTAGAACTTGTGGTTGGCAGGGGACCAGGAGATACTGGCCATGGGATGGGTATGAAAGCAGAACAGTAAAGTTAGAAGACAGTAGGGTGGGGCCATCCCTGTGACCATTCACTGGGGAGAGATCCTCACAGGGGCTGTGGGATAAACCTGTGGGTCAATGAAAGGGTGAGTGAGGGCTGCAAGGACGGTGAAGCAGGGTTTGGGCTGAGATAATGGCGGACAGCCTGTGCAGTAGAGTTAAGAAAGACTTGGGCGTCTACTGCCTACAAGTAGATACAGGAGGCTGAGGTTGATGTGAAGAGCAAGGCAAAGGCCCCAAAGTACTGTGCATTGGAAAATGTCTGATCCAGGATGGCAGGTATGTTTATACAGACACAGTGTGCAGGAAGAATTTGTTGTGAGCCACAGGGTGTCTGTGGCATGGCTTGTAACAAATGGAAAGACATGATCTCCAGAGTGATGTTCTTGAATGGGGTTCTCAACTGATATCCCCAAGACCAAGAGAAACGACAAGCCTGTATTTGTGCAGGTACAGAGGAAGCACTTTGTACAGTACAGGGGGCAAACACTGGGCTGAGGCCTTGAAGTCAGGCCCCCATATAGATGGCATTTACCTGCTCAGGTGGCTAACTAGTTGTGGGTGACAGGGTGACCCATAGGAAAAGCAAGAGCAGGGCAGCTGTGGCCCCAGCCTGATGCTCTCCTGTGAGACAATCAAGGACTTAGTGGGAGTAGGAATCTGTTTTGTGGGTTTGGATAGATAAGACTAGAGTCTGTTCAGGGACACAGTTTCTCTCATCACAGTAGAGCAGTGTGCCCATTGAGGGTGTGGAATAGCCTCTTCCTGGGAGGTATGGAAGCTTCTCGATGAGAACAGTGACTCCTATACCATGCTGTGAGGCTGGAAATCTTTGTCCTTGCTGCCTCCTTGGGTCAGTTCCAACACTCGCCCATCTCAGTCTGTTGACTCAATCTTTGACACTCTCCTTATCTGTGCTGTCACTTGTGTCTCTCTGTGAACTAACGTTAAATATTTGTGCGTGTACCAATTGAGATTCCTCTCCTTTTTATTTGTCTGGTTGTTTTATGTGTGAGTGTGTGAGAGAGCGTACATGCACAAGCCACAGTGTGCACATGGATGTCAAACACAATGACAGGTGTCACTCCTCACCTACCTTGACGAGACAGGTCTCTCTGGTTGTCATACCCTGGACTCCAGACAGACTTGTGGTTATTCACTAGTCTCCTCTCATCTCTGGTCAGGAGCACTGGGATTATGGATGTATTCAGTCAAGATTGGCTTTGCATGGGTCCTGGGATTTTATCTCAAGTCCCCTGTAATGCATGGAAGTACTCTATCCCTTTTTTTGTTTTTTCGAGACAAGGTGTCTCTATAACTTTGGAGCCCATCCTGACACTAGCTCTTGTATTACAGCATGGTCTGGAAATCACAGAGATCCTCCTGCCTCTGCCTCCCGAGTGCTGGGATTAAAGGCATGTGCCAACAACGCCAGGCTAATCTATCCCTTGATACATCTTGCCACACTGTCTCTCTTTTCTTCAGTTGAGCACCTACTCTTATCCTTTTCCACATTAAAGATTTTTGTTTAATATTATCTTTTGTTTTCTTGCAGTGGCAGAGTGTTTCTCTGTAACCACGGCTGTCCTGGAATTTGCTATGTAGACCAGGCTATGACAAACGGAGGCTGAAACTAGCAGATGAAGAGTATCTGGTAAGCACATCTGGGTCATCTTCAGACTCACTGCACGCTCATGGACTGATGTCTAAAAAACCAGCTGCCTTGTGACATGTGAGGTGAGGAGCTGTGCACCTCATTTCTGTCCTGCCAGACCCTGAACCCGCTGGCTGCTCACGTGGTATTTACCCTGAGACAGATCCTGTCTCACAGTCTCACAAAGCTGCATTCAGACTGGCGTGTTGGTGAGAAGTGGCTTTAATTCCTGCATTCTCGAGGCAGAGACAGGAGGACCTGTGTGACATCATGGCCAGCCTGGGCTACAGAACAACAAAAGAGCTGCAGTGGTTTTCCCATGATCACCTGGCCAGTCAGTGCCAGTCTCCCTGCTCTGAGTGCCCACACATGTCACCTCTGTCACTGTCTCCCACATCCTCTGAAGATGTCACACTTCACCTGCACAGCATACAGTCATGGAGACAAGACCAGAGCTGCAGGTGTTTATTAGAATGAGCTTGACAGACAGAACAAGGATGAGACAGGTGTCTGGATTCCAACTTCAGGAGGGAGAGAGGACAGGGCTGCAAGATGCTACTCGCATTGGACATCACATCATATCGCTTTTAGTTTAGAAAAGGAATCCCTCCATTTTGTGTTGGGTGTCTTTAGCTTAGTAGTCCTTGCATGTTGACGGTGATTTCATACTGGAAAACAAAAGCACACAGAGAGCTGGAGGTGGTCACAGGCAAGGTGCAGAGCCTCCCTAGGACTCCCCAGTCACCCATGATGATGATGCTCCTTGTCCTCAGCGAAGGAAAATCCCTGCAGTGACTCAGGTCATCCCCTGTGTGAGTGTGTTAGAAGAAACTCTTTTTGGAGAATGTTATGGTTTTGCAGGATCTGTCACTCAAACTAAAATACAAACATCATGAGGATGCACTATTAAAACCACACATCTGTGTAATCCAACTTTGCCTAAAGACAAAACAACAGGAAACAAGGATCGGCTGTGGTAGGCAGCTGCGGGCACTCCCTGGGAGTGGGGTGTCATCTAAGTCATGCAGGGAGGTTCTGCCCTGGCCCTGAGGATGCCAGGGGAAGGAGGGCTCCATCCGAGACAGGGGAGTAGATTCAAGGGAGGATCCAGAGAAGGTGACACAAGCCAGTAGACAGAATTCAGACATCTTAGATCACAGCTGAGGGTGCCCTACCTGTGCAGCAGCCAGAGCAAAGATCTACTGTGTCCCTGCCTGCCCTAGTGTGTGGAGAACCCGAGATTACCCATAGCATGGGAGTGTTTGCAGAACTAGCTGAGAACAGGCTGTCTGTGTACCAGCATGCTGCATTGATATGTACTAGGGTGTCTGTTGTTCATCCCCTGACACACATTACTTGTACACAGCATGGCACCATGTGTGCATGGGGGATTGGGGTTAGGGGGGAAGTTAACATAACTCTCATATCCAGGAGTTTGCTTTTCAATCTTCCCTCATTGTAACATTCCTGGATTTTTTCAAAAGCTTCCCATTCGTTGGCAGTGGGGTTAAACTTGTTAAGGATGATGTTCAATGCTTGCTTGTTTCCAAGGACCACTGCACTGAAGGCTTCATAGAAAGTCACGCATGCTTCCACTGCAAACACAGAAAACCATCATTAAGGGAGCCCCAGGCTACAGAAGCAGACATTCAGGGTGTCTTACCACATCTGCAAATGTCTTAACTGACCTTTACAGTCCTGCCTTCCTGAGGCTGCTGCCTCCCAGATACAGCAGACAGATTCTATAGACACATACTCTCAGTAGAAGGGGATAAATCAGTGTGGCAGCCTGCATATCTGACCTTCACATAAATCCTACCCATGACCCAGCTTCAACTGTTCATGCAAATAATGGACAGTCATCACCACATACCCCTGCTCCCCATCCCACCAACCCCAGCTATCTCAGTCCAGAGAAGTAAGTCAAGGGACTTGGGCAGGTGTCCTGGCTGGTGACCTCCCGGGGACCCCTTAGATCTGTGTCCCGGCACTGCTTGGAAATCTATTTGGAAGTGAGATGGGGTGAGCAAGAATAAGAAAGGCTGTCTGTCCCCATTCTCACTTGTCTGGAAGCCCAGCTCCCCAGTCACCAGCAAGGCCAGCAGAAGCAGAGTCCCCTTCATGGTGCAGAGTGCTAAATGCTCTTCTCAGAGCAGATCCTGCTGCCTTATAAGCTGCTGTCTTCCTGAGCCCAGTCCCACCCATCCCATCCCAACCAAGCCCAACCCTGCCTCCCACGAGTTCCAAATGCCTTTGGGCAAGAGCCTGGCACCTGTGGATTCCTGTCCCTCTTGCATGGGGGAGTGAGCATAGGAGCCCCTGCCTGTCTGAAGAACAAATAGCAGGAGACATCCTAATGTCATCAGCTTCTGGACAGAAGAGGTTGTATCTTTGCCAGTAGACATTAGGACTGACCTTTCTAAGAAACCACATGCTGAGCCAAGTACAGTTTTGTCTTGACACAACTGTCACCCCTATTCCTCTCCTGGTGGCACGCATGTACACTTCAGCTTGGAGAAGGAAACCATGCAGGTCAAGGAGGATTTCTGTCACTGTAGGGAGCCAACAGCCCACAACACTTCTTTTGCGTGAGATCAACACTTGAGCAGATGTGTGCACGTCTGGGGACCATACTGTGATCCTTGGACATCATATCATCTTAAGCTGCTGTCGCCTGCAGAGTAGACCTCTCAGAACAGGGACCACCATCTGGGGCTTTAGTGACTGCCAGCCAGGGTAGTCCCAGTATGTTAGGTCACGTGGGTCTCCTCAGGGCTGAGGATGTTTTTGTCCCACCAACTGCATCATGCTGCAGTGTCCCCCTCCCTGCCTCAGTACTCATTCCTGTTGTCCTGCTCTCATCTCTCTCACCCCTACCAGGAAGTAGGCCTCTAAGAGTTCAAAGAGTAGAATCCATGCAGAGGGACATGTCCCTGTACCATCAAGACTCCAATGCCCACCGCCCTACAGGCCACAGTGGACTGGCTGTCCATAAACTAGAGTTGTCCACTGTCCACAAGCAGTGCTGTGTGTGTGCACAATCTCAAGTTGAAATCACCCTGCTTCCCTCTGATTCTATGTGTCACCATGGAAACAAAGCTCTGTCAGTGTGGAGGTTTAAACTGGGTTGATGTGGGCAGTCTGACTTTCTATGGACAGAATGGACGGAGTGGAAAGGAGAAAGCAGGCTGGGCATCCATGTCTCTCTACTTCCTGATTGTCATGTGGTCAACCACTATGAGTCCCTGCAGCCCCCCCATTCCCGCCATGCACTGCATCCCTTCAGACAGTTAGTGACAGTCACTCCTGCTCTGCTACATTGTCACTAGTTCACCAATACCTCACAGGAGTCATTTTTAGCATTTGACAATCCCTGAGGTTAATCCATTGCATCACACAGAAAAATAGGGGTGTCTAATGAAATGGCTCACTGGGTAGAGTGCTCAATATGCAAGCCTAAGGACCTGAGTTCAGATCCCCAGGACCCCTGTAAGGAGGTGCATGTGGTGGCATCCCCCACAAATCCCACATGAGCTCCAGGTTCAGGAAGAGAACTTGACTCAAAACAGAGTGGAAGGCCGTGGAGACAGCTCAGTGAGAGAACACGCTTGCTGCTCAGCCAGAACCCACATGGTAGAATATAACTGGCTCCTGATAATGGTCCTGTGATTTACACACACACACACACACACACACACACACACACACACACACACACGCACACCTGAATAATTTCTGTGGAAACTAGCAAAAGACTGCCTACACAAGTTTTCAAATATCAAACAATGGGAATGGAAAACTGTCATCATATTGAATTATGACATGCTGACATGAATGGCTGAGTGAGCAGATACTCATATAGGAATGAAAGACAGTGTTCTTACAGAAGAAATCATGAGTACTTACATATGCTCCTCTCCTCTCGGGAGGGGAGTTTACTGTCTTAGTCCTTCAGTGTGAGCCTCATGTGTCCAAAGAAAAATACAGGTGGGCTGATGCTGCCACAGTTAAGAAAATACTTGCTGTGTAAGCTTGAATACCTGAGTTTCAGTCCCCAGGCCCATGAGGAAATCCAGACACAGTGGTGCTCCTTGTAATTCCAGCACTAGGGAGTCCGCCCCTGGGGCTCACTGGCCAGTCTGTCTAACCATGTCAGCCAGTCCAGTATCAGGAAGAGACCCTGTCTCTAAAATATAAGGAGGTCAGCTGTTAAGAGGACTGAGTACTGATGGGGCAGCCAACAACCCCCTGTAACTTCAGGTCCTGAGGATCCAACACCCTCCTCTGGGGACCAGAGACCCTGCTCACAAAGTGTGTAAGACTTTCATGCAGGCAAAATCTCCATGCAAAGAAAACAAACCAAATAAAATCTTTCCATAGAGTAGAAAATTGTATATGCAATATGTGTGTATACATGTGCAAGCACATACATAAACACACACTCACATATACTTTTATATGGTGAGAGCGACTGAAGTACTTGATTGTATATCTCTGTTGGCCATGCTTATGCACACATGCATGCCATGTGTCTCAGTTAAGATTACTATTGCTCAGCCAGGCATGGTTGTGTACACTTTTAATCCCAGCAGGCAGGATGCAGAGGCAGGAGGATCTCTGAGTTCAAGGCCAACCTGGTCTATAAAGCAAGTTCCAGGACTGTAGCATCTATGAGAAAATACCATGACTAAAAGTAAATTAAGGAGGGAAGGGTTTGTTTGACTTTTACTTCCATGTCACAAGTCATCCCCAAAGTCAGGACAGGACCTCAAGCAGGGCAGGATTCTGGCGCAGGAGCTGGTGAGGAAGCCATGGAGGATACTGCTACTGGTTTCTTTCCCAGGACTTGCTCAGCCTGCTACCTTATGGAACCCAGGACCACCAGCCAGGAGATGGCACCAACCACTACGGGCTTAGCCATCCCACATTGATCACTAATGAAGAAAACCAGGCCACCCACAATGGACTGGTCCTTCCCCCATCAATAACTAATTAAGGAAATGCATTGCCATTGGCTAATGCTAGTTGCCTTTAATCCCAGTACCTGAAGGAAGAGACAGCTTGAGGCCAGCCATGTTCACAAGGTCAGTTCCAAAACAGCCAAGGCTACAAGATAAAGCCTGTCTTGTGGTGGGGGCTAGTGGAGGGGGGGTCCTTACAGGCTTGCCTGCAATCCAAACTTATGGAGGCATTTTCTTCTCTCTCTCTCTCTCTCTCTCTCTCTCTCTCTGTCACTCTCTGTCTGTCTCTCTCTCTCTCTTTGTGTGTTTTTCTTTGACTTTTTTGAGACAAGGTTTCTCTGCATAGCCCAGTCTGTTCTAGAATTCTGAGTATACCAGACTGCCCTCAAACTCAAAGAGATCCACCTGTGTCTGCCTCCAAGTGCTGGAATTAAAGATTTGTGCCACCACTGCTAGGTGGAGGCTTTTTCTTAATTGAGGTTACGTCCTTCTCATAAGTTTACTCTGTGTCAATTTGACATAAAACTAACTAGCACATCTCAAAAATGAACTTATGTACACACACACATTCACACTCACACACACGCACACACACACACAAGAAAATGTGAGGGAATGGGAAAACAGTAGAAATATCTGGACACAGAATGCTAATGGTTCAAGTGAGAATTTCCAGTCAGTGGGGAAAGGTGCAGGTGTCATGTGTGCTCTGACATGCATGATTAGGCACTAAACCTCCGTGAGATCTACAAACAGGCGAATGTCAGCTCTGATGAAGTAGCAGAGTGCTGCAGGTGTCACCCACCAGTAGACACTTCTTAGCCACAGTATGCCCTTGTCTGCATTCCTAGTACTTCTAAGGAATAGAAAGCCCTCGCTTGGCCTCAGCAGCCCTGGGAACTTGCAAGGTCATCAAAACAAGGACTGGAGGACATAGTGGACAGCTCATGGGTAGATATTAGTACTTGGCAACTCTTTCTCAAAACGGTTATAGGATGCATATTCTGTTTGGCTCAGGCATGCAGTAATTCAAAAGAGTAAGGTCTCTCTAAGTTTGGCAATAACTTCATCTGTCATCACTGATGGATAGAAAGCAACAGTCAATGCTTTTAACAACAAACTAATTAGTTCTGACTTACCAAACACTTAGAGTCTTTACTGTTAAAAATTGATACCAGCCAACTCACATAAGTGCTTATATAAGGTGAATAGGCAGGTGTGGATAGTGGAGTTGAAAGTTTGAGGCCAGTCTGCATCATGTGGGAAGATACTCTTGTTTCATGTTTCAGAAACATCTTGTTTAGAGACTTGAGAGAGGCCAGCTAGCCCTCCAGTACATCTAACGACCACTGTGGAGACCTCCTATGTGGTGTGCCAAGGATAGCGTGCCACATGCTTTGTTCTCCTGAGTCATTGGATACCTAAGGGACACAAAATCAGCCACAGGAAGAGTTGCTGGGAAAGCAGGGACTGGATTCAGAGCCCAGTTTTATGGTGGAGGCCAGGCGTGTTCTCATGGACAGGGTTCCCGTGCACTGTGGTGTTGTAATCTGTGTTCCATTGCTGTGACAAAACTCCCCAGACGCTGTGCTGTATGTGGGAGAGACATTAACTTGGCTCATGGGAGGAGTCTTGACAGTCCCAGATAGAGCAGCCACATCTAGGCACTGCTTGCACTGTGTGAACTCATGGTGGGAGTTGGGGCTTGAGGGGAGGTGGTGGAAGTCAGTCCTAGAGCAGGAGCTCCATCTGGTTACAGCCACTACCATAACTGCCTGTCAGCACTGCCACACTGGGGACCAAGGCTCAAGGTGGGGGTTGCTGTTTGGGTTGAAACCACAGCTGTCTGTCCCTCTGATATGGTGTTTGATGAATCTGAGCATCAAATGTCACAGCCAGGAGATGGGGAGCACACCAGTGCTTGACAAGCAACCAAGGCCACAAGCAGACACTGGCCATTGAGTGGTTATGGAAGTAGAACAGTAAAGGTGACAGTGAGGCAGGGACCTACTGTAGGGGGAAAGACCCAGCCAAAGACACACACCCTGAGCAGAGCCAATGAAACACACATTGGCACTGCCACCAGAAACAACTAGTAGTAGGAGGCTTCGACACTCTGCTCTCACAACTAGACAGAAAATTGAATAAAGAAACAAAAGAAG